CCGGATGGCATGTTCAGATGTTCGAGACTTTGTGAACGAGGGCATGTTTGTGTTGACTTTGTAGTATTCAGTTTGCGCTATTTGGCGGGTCACATATTACTTTATAATATTCGGGATTTCAAGATAATAAGCGAGAACGGTCTTTTACAGAAAACAGTGCTATTGATTCTTACAAAATTCATTCGAGGAAAGAAATTTATCTCCTTACGATGAAAAGTCAAATTCAGCTTTGTTGTTCTTGTTTCCAACTGTGTCTGTAACAAGACCATTACATGATGAATGAAGAATATGAAACTATGGAGCTTAGTTTAAACAGCAGATTCATTGGATGTACACACTCATAAATGGAATTGCAATGATCCAATCGCCAGATCCGATAGAAGCGTGCATACTAATTGGTATATCGTTTCTCTCAAAGAATTTCTTTTTGCAAAATTGTTTCACTTTATTTTGATTTTAGTGTTTGGGTTGAGAGAGTTTCTTGTCAGGCAATTACAGTTTTTACTCGTACCACTCTACATGTTATTCATCAAAATTCGTCACCTAAATCGTGATTAGTGCTTTTCATTTTCATTATGTTTAATTAGAAAATCTTACCTTATTTCAAGTACTCTTGGGTGATTCGGGTTGCAGATGATTCGCGTGCTTCGATGATTAAATTCTATACCGCCAGGATATTTAATTTATATTATTTTATTTTAACTTTAAACACAATGTCAAGCCATTTTTGATAGAATTTCAATCAGTCACCGCGCTGTTTTGATGATGACGTCATTCAAGACTTAAACACCAAGCACAATAATATCTACTGTAAATAGCACTTAGGAGATTTACATTTAGCAATAATAATTCAGAATATAAGCACACCAAAAATGTACCAAAGATTTCGCGGTTCACAGTCTCTATAGGTTTATCATCGATCCTTGATTTCATACTTTGTAGCCCAGGAAGTATTAGCTTGTCTAGATAATTTTTTTTTTAAATGTTTTTTTTTTCTTTATAGAAATAGTAAGACAACATATTAGGAACTTGAAAAAATTAATTTGAAATAAACGTGAAAGAGTAACCAGTTTGAAAGATACCCATCAAGTTAGTTGAGTAACTAAGAGATCAAAATTTAAGTTAATAATGTAGAATTTCCGCTGAATTTCTATAGACGAGCAACCGATAAATTACTTTTATGAATTTATTCACTTAATAAATTGATAAGCAATGCACAGATCACGCCCTATGAGAACAATTTCTTTAAGGAATTGAAGTAAATTTATCAACAATGAAATTTCAGTCCGATGAAGCGAATTCCCAAATTGTGGAATTCAGATTAGTTTCTTGAAATGCGATAGCGTAGCGTGATGCCAGGTGTCACCACCGGTCTTGAATAGTCCTAATTAATCTAAAAATGATGAACATACAACTTGATTAGAAGTGAAACCTGATGCACAGATTCAGTAAAGTGTGAATAAAAATGCCTTCTTTCATCTGAAATATTGATGCTCTCTAAAAGATTGTCACGCCTTTTCAAACACTAAATGAATTGCTTTTCTTGCTCAGGTGAGAATTCAAAGATAATTTGAATACTCTCTATATTTACCAAATTACTATTTAAATATTGTGCTGTTGTATATGCTGGTGCAATATACTGACCATATAGATCTATTTTGTGTGCTGTTTGTTATTTGCGATTGATTGGTGTTCCAAAAAAAAAATATCGATGAAAATTTCATTAAAAGTTAAATATTTTAAATGAATGTCCATGTATAATGTTTGATAAGCAAAAACGCAGAAATAAAACTCAACGAAAGGGTCTTTGGAGCAGCATGGTGATTTCTTGTCAGCCAAATAATAGCTCCGTATATCGCAATGCTTATGTTGTATTATTATCCAATAATAATAATAATAATAATAATAATAATAATAATAATAATAATAATAATAATAATAATAATAATAATAATAACAACAATAATAATAATAATAATAATAATAATAATAATAATAATAATAATAATAATAATAAATCATGGAAAATAAATTGTTTTCCATTATATTATATTACATCAAACGAAGTATGTGTAAATAGAGAAGGGTTTGGTTAGTCATTTCTATTCTAAGATCAGTCTATGGAATCATTTCCAACTGTGTTCAGATATAATTTGAGAGAAATTGTTTATGGAAATTATCCGTTGGTAAACAATTATTCATTTCTATTGTAAGACCAGTCTATTGAATCATTTACAACTGTGTTCAGATATAATTTGAGAGGAATTGTTTATGGAAATTATCTGTTGGAATTAAAATATTCTCAATGAGATTCTACACTCAACAACAGTTTGGGAAATGATAAGAACTCGTTCAAATACATTCTGGACTGTGGTATATCAGGACGTCTAGACTATCCAAATCAAATCAGAGCTATTCGAATCATTTCAGAACTATTCGAATCAATTCAGAACATTATATATTTTTGGATTTTTGATGGGACGTTTAGGATTTTTATGGATTTAATTCACAATACTGCAAGTGTCTCTTAAATTGTCTTTCCGTGACATAGATAAATAAATTATTTGCAGATTTTACTAGATTCCTTGGTTTTGGTTCTTTTTGTTACACAGTTTAAGACCTAGACTGGTTACAATATACAACGTTTTATCGATTTATCGGGAAATCATGTTTCTGTAAGATTCGGATATATTAACGTGTTGTTAAATGTAAGGTTTGCAAGACAAAAAATATTATGACATTTGAGTTTTAGAGGTTTCAGCGTGGTTTAGTTTAGTATTTCTGTAATTTCTGAGGTACAAATGGAGTCTTTTACTGGCTAGAGGTGGTAACATGAGTTGTTCCAGAGCAAACTGAGCATAACATTATATCCCTGGATCCTATAGGTGAATGTTTCATGGCATTGACATAACTTTTAAATACTAATAAACAACACTATCATTCGGGTTAGAAAATTATTTTGAATCCTACTCTACTGATATTTGAACCCAGGTCGGCGGGTTCCGTCTCCCGTCGCCATGTCTCTACGCAAAAACTCTTAGGCCAGTTCGACCATGCACACCTCATAAAATATGATTCACAAAATATGATTCACAAAGTATGATTTACAAAATATGATTCACAAAATATGATTAACAAAATATGATTCACAAAGTATGATTCACAAAATATGATTTACAAAATATAATTTACAAAATATGATTCACATAATATGATTCACATAATATGATTCACAAAGTCACTGGTATAGGCATACGTGCATAGCAGACACACCCAGATTTCGACCAAATTAATTATATATTTGATCACTCCACAGGAAAATTTTGTACTGTAAAAATATCATAGATCCATTCGCATCTATATAATAAAATAATGTAAATAGCAATGCATAATTCGATAACCTGAAGTTATTAAAATAACATTAACCTCTAGAAAATTATTAGATCAACAGTGATTATTTTTGGAAGTTATTATAGGATTGTTATTTATGGGATAATCTTATCTTACTGTAGATTGATGATGGTTTGATATTTTACATCTTCCGATTAAAAAACAAAACCATTTATTTAAAATTGACATTCAGCAACAAGCTTTTGTTCCAAATTAATTAAGGTATTGTTTACATAAACATTTGATGAATGACGAAATAGTAGCGCAACAGATGTTGCTGTGTTCTTTTAGATACAATTTGGTCTTGCACATCAATATTTTAATATTGGACTTTGCATTCCGTACAACGGATTAAGATCTAAGTCTCTTTTAAACTCCCTTGTAAATGAAAGACTCTTGATTATTGTGTTATTAGCGTGACAACAGTTAACTATAACTGTGGACAAGCCCCACTATTAAAACTGTCTCTCAAATATCGAATTTATGCTAGGTATGTACGTGTGCAAAATTTAGACGGCTTACTCTAATATAATAATTTCTCTATGGACAGTTTATTTTAAGATCTATTATGGCACGTCATCAAAGTAAGGCAAAATGTCACAACCTTTGTATGTTCCAAATACCGTCATTATTGTGTCTCGACTATAAGGCCAATATGGGAGCGATTGCTTTAGTATAAATGTACTCAAATGCGATACCTTTCTAATCATGATATCAGATTGTGTACACTTTTTTATGATACCTTTCTTAGCCGATATATGTCAAGGTCTTTCTAGCACATTCAATTATTTATTTATTTCGTTCTTCATTGGCTTTCATATGTTAATCAGTGTTCTGACAACACACCATGCAAAAAGTCCATTCTACTTATATGTTACTGCATTTGAATGAGAAAATATCAACGAGGTTTTCAGATGGAAATACTGCACGACCTTCAGATTTGTTTACAAAGTAGTTCCTCATGCATTATTGGGTACATGTGTCGTGTACGTGATTATATATGAAGTGCGTGTGAGTGCAATATCGTAAAATATTGCAGGATTCTGACAATGTAAAGTTAACGGAGAAAGAAAAGCATATAATAAAATCACATATTCCAGTTCTTGTTATAATTCCACTTCAATTTGGTTCTTTCACATTCGAACAACGATTTTTTTTAATAAAACGAAATATTACACCTTTTTCATAATATCTCATCATATTGACCTTAATTGAAATGATCTGTAAATAAGTTGCCCTTCAGTGATGTACCAATCTAGTATATCAACATTGCCCTTGCGTTATGCACCGATCTAGTCTGTCAACATTTTGACATCACTGTCCATATCTAACCGCTCTAAAACATTAAATTTATAGCGTTTCTTTTTTCTTTTTTGGTTGATGTGTGGGTTAATTTGATCCATATATGTCATGAACTTTCCAAACTACTTCCGAATTCTTTAATTTTCTTATGAAAGTGATTAATATTCGGTAACATATATGGAATTTATCGAGGTATTTTCATTTCTTACTACTCTCTGTCGGTTATTAAATAGTTTTATTGTTACAACTGCCGTTGTTACTATTTATTGTGCAATTCCTTTTTTCCTTCTTCATCATAATCTTCAACCGCACCTTTGGCTTAGTGGTTAGAGCGTCCGTCATGGATGCGAGAGGTCGTGGGTTCGATTCCCGGTCGACTTATACCACACACTTACAAAAATGGTACCAACAGCTGCCTCGCTTGGCGCTCAGCATTAATAGGTTAGCGTTAGGACTGGTCGGTCTGGTGTCAGGAAAATGTGAGTGGGTGGGAAATCATGCTACATGATGCCCCAGTGCTAGACTTCACAATAAACTGCCACACTGCAGCCATCGTAGCGATATGACTAAAAAATTGTTAAAGCTACGTTAAAAATCATAATCACGCCACACTATCATAATCTTCTTTTAACTGTTGTTATTATAGAAAGATTTCAGAATTTCCACTGAGCTTCAATAATAGCCATCACAAAAGAAACCGAAACTTAACCATGTTATCTTTTGTATATGTCTCCAAATATGACTGCTATGGTCAAAAACGATCGTCAGAAATTTGGTCCTATAATTTGGTTTGTAAACCTTTGCTGTTCTGTCTCGTGTTGTTATATTTTATGTCTTGTCTAAGTCAATTGTGTCAGAAATTTGTTCTAGACCCATTTCGGAACCTTTTCGTTGTGCACTTTGTAAACTTTTTATCACAGTTCTTTCTATAACCATGAATATGTTGTATTTGAACGTCATATAATGTATTATTACTCACATGTTCGTCTCATTCTAGCCTTTATTTCGTTACTATAGTATGGCTTTCTTAACTTGTATTTCAATATGCATACTACTGTTTTATTTCTGAAGTAGTACCTACTTTTGTCCGTGTTACAGTACACAACCTTTTGCCTTTGGAAACTAGCCCTAACGTAGTTAGTTTTGCAGTTGTATAAGATATTTTTAATTTATTACTAATACGTCATAAGTTTATTGCGCCGACCTTTGCGTATAACTTCAACGTCTTACCGACCATTTTAGAAAATTAATGTAACGTTTGTCGAGCTCTCGCAAAGAAAAATGCGAAAGGTTATTTTCATTGCATTCTCGGCCAAAAGATGATTTGATAAAACTTTCTCACATTGATTTCATATTGTCTCAGCCCTTTTTAAAAATTATTTTGAGCCAGTAGTTTGCAATTTGCGGGTGAACCAGAAAGCTAATTTAATTATATTTTCCTTAGGGATACGCTATACAATTATATATTTGGCCGCAATGTACTATTTACTAGGAATTGACCATCGTTCAATGAAGTACACGTATCAGCGTCGCTGAGCATTTTGTTTGACAATTTTTCATATTATTTCACTCTAGCTGGCCTTGAACTTGTCACGGCTGACACTCACCTTCTGACCGCTTTTCAGAACATATATGTTGCTAGGCTAGGTTTGTAAACTAAGTCTATCGAAGTTTTTTTTTTCTTCATATTTTTGCCATTGGCTGTGGACTGTCGTATTTTTTAAGCAATAAATTGTACAAGTAAGCAAAGTAGTTATAACAGTAAATGTAGGTCTGACTCAGTATAATAATTTAGAGAAAGTACGATTAGAATACGTCGAATGCACCTAAAATATGCTGAACAATGAATTTACGCCAAAGAATTTAACCCTAGAAGATATGCACGGTGGCTTTTAAATATTTTAACACGACAATTGCATCAAGAGATCCGCAGGAAATTGGCTTTAATGACAAAATCGTCATCAGGGAGGATGTTTGAAATCGTCACGGTGTTCGAGCTGCACCAAAATGGAAACAAGTATTGATTTCAGCTAACTCCGTATCTAACGTTACTGGGGTGCCCGACTCTAAATGAAGTGTTTATAGATGGTGATGATGTATTGATTGATGTCAATGTATTCTGTCAATGTTGATTTTTATGATATTGGTTTTTCTCTAGATCAAAAGAGATCTATGAGTTTTCCAGCTGCTTTATCATTTATCGGACAGGTGATTTAATGGTTGCTGGGCATATCTGTTGTTGCAACAACACCCAATTTGTTTTTGCAGAATCACTCTGATGATATTGCTCATTATATCGTTTCGTTTATTAAATTATAATCGATCGGTCTTCTTGACGTTACTGTGGTAGAAACATGACGTTTAATATTCAGAAAGTGTTCTCAAGCAGGTCATACTCAAACTCATATAAAACATCATTCAGCTTAAAATATTTTTTTTCAGGAAGCAAATATGATCAAGGAGAAAGAAACATTTTTTATTCTAAAAACATAACCGGCCATTCTTAAAACATTAACAATCTTAAAAAAAAACAGCGAAAAAAATACTTCTTACCTTCCTTAATTTATTCCAGTCAAAATTATATGAGAAGAATGTTTCAGTTGGAATTTCTTATATTGTAGTCTTAAATTTGGGCTTTATATGTTGATGCAGTCTTTCATTTGACATGACCACCTTTGATCATGTAAAATTAAATTGTATGGCAACTATTAAACCAAATGTCCTAAAGTCATCAAGACTCCAAAACCTTTCCAGTTGTTAGAAAACCTGACCATTCACTATAAAACATAGCCACTGTCCAGTTTTTATGAATCCTGCCTAATCATAATAAAACATATCCAATGTCCAGTTGTTACGAAACCTGCCAATTCGCTATAAAACATAGCCACTGTCCAGTTTTTATGAAACCTACCCATTCACTAGAAAACATAATCACCTTTACAGAAGACAGAAATTTTTTCCGAGCATTACAACACATGATCAGCTAGTTCTGATTTTAGGGAACAACGGCAGCTCTATTGGTAGCGCGTACGACTTGTAATCCAAGAGTCGCGAGTTTGATACCATCCCAGATCAGTCTGGTTCGCTTGCCACTGAATATTTTAGAAAAGGCACTTCATTTCCACTTTCTAAGCATATTAAAAAATACGGTGTCGAAGCCACCCAATCAACTAATTTCAAACATAAACACAAGAAAATACGGTGTCGAAGCCAACCAATCAACTAATTTGAAACATAAACACAAGAAAATACAGTGTCGAAGCCACCCAATCAACTAATTTCAAACATAAACAAAAGAAAATACGGTGTCGAAGCCAACCAATCAACTAATTTGAAACATAAACACAAGAAAATACGGTGTCGAAGCCAACCAATCAACTAATTTCAAACATAAACACAAGAAAATACGGTGTCAAAGCCAACCAATCAACTAATTTCAAACATAAAACACATGTAGAGGATCCTAATAGCAACCCATTTCAAGCTGTTAAAAGATTTTAGTTCATTTTAAGTGTTTTTATTTTTTTTATTATAAGTTTTTCAACATCACCCCTATCCACCTTCCAATATTTTTTACACTGAATGAAAACAAACTTACAACTAGATACACTGTTAACGATTGTTTTCGATTTCCTTCTCATGGTAAACCCTTATTTATATACCCATAGCAAGCATCAAGTGGCAGCATAGTGTTTATTCAGGGTCTATTTTTATTAACGTGTTAACATTGAACTAGGTACACGAGTTTGATATTCTATATATCAGATAACGATTAGGACATCTTGCATTACTTAGCGACTTTGCTAGATGGCGTTGCAATATGTCATACGGAAATATATCAAACAAACTTTGTGACATGATGTAATGACGCTCTTAAAAGTAAACGTTATTTCGTAAATTTCGAAGTCGGGATACTTCGACCATGTTATTATTAATCATTATTCCTTTATGTGACAAAAAGTCGATCTATCAATCGATTGATCGATCGATCGAGAGATCACAAAAATTCTATCCAGACATTTAATTGTAAAACATTGAAGTACTTCAATATCTAAAATAATAATAACTATTTGCTTATAATCTTCTCTTTATGCATTTTTTGTGTACTATATAGAAAATATTTACATTTGTTTTTATTACATATCAGCCAAACGACGAACTTCCTCTCCACGTGGCATGTGCTAGAACCAGCGGAGCGTTGACCATTGTCCAGCTAATTTTGAAGGCCATGGGAAAGGATGGCAGACTTTTTCAGGATAAGGTTGGTCGAAGATTTGTAACATTTGTGTGAGAGATCGTCCGTATTCATCAAACGGTGAGTGAAAATTAATATTCGATAACTGTCTGTCACTTTCTGATTACATGATTCACGTGAGCTGTTCACATGGTCGTATGGAAAGGTGGCTTATAGTAAATTCTAGCGTCTAGCATAGATCTTCCGTCGTTTGAAGTTTGTCTTTTAAATTTCTTCTCAAATATAACTGTATCTGTTTACAAAGTATTCTAATAAAACAGCTGGATCAAATTCAACCTCGTTTGATAGAGTATTCTAAAAAAAAAAATTAATTTCAGCCAAGTTTGACAGAGTATTCCAACATGAAGAGCTCTCTTTCTCGTACAAATGATGCTTTTCAGCCATCAAATATGGCCGTCGTTTACTAAAGAGGTGAAATCTTTAAGCAACTTTTTAAAAATCGCTAAATAGAATTTGACAGGAAATATTAACATAAAGAGTTTTACTATTTAAATAATGCAGTTCCTCCATTAATTATGCCAATCATTATTAAAATAGAACAAACATTTACAAGACATCTTCTCAAGCTCCACTTAAAAGAATTCGGCCTAATCTGACAGAGAGTATTTTGCCATTAGGCACCAAGTGGAGCCACACATCGTAAGAACTTTCTACATATTTCATCTTAATGGCCTTGATTTCTTGGTTAATTTCAACTATTATTAAAAATATAATCAACAGATTAATCTTGTCCAAAATTTTATGAATTATTATATCGTTAAACTCCAAAGAAACGAAGTTTGCTCCTCTTTAATACCATCTTCTTTCCAGATTTTCCGTTTTCATCTAACTTATGTTGGCATATTGCTAAACAGTACTGTACGTATATGATTTTTAAAGACAGCACATTCCAATGAAATGTAAAATATATGCAAGTTAGCATTCCTGTGATATGTATTGTCCTTGTAGAATGGTTCCATTCCACTGTTCATGGCTGCTGAGACTGGGAATGTGGCCGTATGCCGAGAGCTTTTGGCGCAGACCGTGGAACAACAGCTAACCACCCAAAGAAAGGTAGTATATATATTTGTTATTTTTATTGCACAGCACAATGTTAAAAGCAAGGTAGTATATATAATTATTATTTTTAT